CTGCACCTCTGACAGATCTCTTCAGTGCGAAAAGATTACCAGATGAATGGCCTGAGCAAGCCATACGAGCCTTTGAAATGCTCAAAGCTCGACTATCGAACGACGTTTTGTTGAATTACCCGGATTTTACGAAGCCTTTCGAAGTGATCTCAGATGCTTCACTGAATGGAACTGGCGCAGTACTCCTGCAAAACAACCGACCGGTTGCTTTTACAAGTAAGAAATTTTCCCCTGCTGAACGGAACTACAGCACGGGTGAACAGGAGCTACTTGGGGTAATCAACGCCTTGAGAGAATGGCGATGCTACTTACAAAGTTCCATACCTTTTAATCTCGTCACAGACCACCATCCACTGATCTTTCTTAAGACTCAGTTGAACTTAAGCCGCAGACAAGCCCGTTGGCTTGAGTTCCTGGCTCAATTTGATTTTTGAGTGGATTTACCGACCAGGACGATTGAACGTGGTCGCCGACGCTTTTTGTCACGCCATCCCTCCTTGGCATCTCTAGTGGTATTCAATGCGGTTACCACACGTCGCCCTCAGGGATGTACGCTGGACCCACTCATCCAACGTATTGCCGATGCTACAAAGAGAGACGCTTATTTCCAGAACCCAGATCATACTCGTTTCTTTTTGACGAATCCTCTCGGATTCTTCCAGATAGAAAGGGGGGAGTGTGAGTACCGCATCATGGTACCCAATGACCCCGCCTTGAAACGAGAGATTATTGAATGAAGCAACACGGACATCTTGTCAGGACACCCTGGACGAGATCGAACCATTGATTTAGTTGAACGAAATTCCTGGTGGCCTACGTTGAAAGCTGACGTCGCAGACTTTGTCGCATGTTGCGATCTTTGTCAACGGAATAAAGCTTCATCAGGCAAACCGCTAGGTCTATCTCGACCTCTGCCGATTCCTGAAAGACCCTGGAGCAGCGTCTCAGTGGACTTTGTACTCGGATTGCCCTCGACTAGAAAAGGTTACAACTCCCTTGTGGTATTTGTAGACCGACTGACTAAGATGGTGCATGTACGACCATGCAAGAAAGAAATAGACGCAGAAGAAACTGCAGATTTATTCTTTGGCACCGTGGTACGGCTTCACGGTTTACCAGACACCTTCGTCTCAGATCGTGACACCAAGTTTACTGGTGCTTTCTGGACCTCTCTCATGAAGAGGCTAGAAGTGAAGCAGGCGATGAGTACTGCTTTCCATCCTCAGACTGATGGTCAGACAGAACGAGTTAACCACGTCCTTGGAAACATGTTGAGGAACTACTGTGATCAGGAACCTTCACAGTGGGAGATATATCTCGGACCGGCCGAATTTGTGATTAATAACTCGAAGAATCGTTCGACAGGAGTTAGTCCATTCTTCCTGAATTATGGCTATCATCCTAAGACCCCTGTACAACTCGAACTCGGTGACACAGTTCCCTTTGCTAAAGGTTATGTTGACACGTATGCCAAGAGACTTGCTGCTGCTAAATCTGCTTTGATAACGGCGCAAGATCGAATGACTAAGCAAGAAAATAAAGGACGACGTGATGTGTCGTTTACGGAAGGACAACAAGTCTTACTCAGTACGAAGAACTTAACCCTCCAGAAAGGTTCGAAGAAACTGATGCCTAAATGGATTGGACCTTTCACGATTGAGAAGATCATCAATCCTGCTGCCGCTAGATTGACTCTTCCAGAGGAATATCGTTTCCATAACGTATTCCATGTATCGTTGATACGGCCTTATCGATCTGATGGCACCGTACAACCACCTCGACCTACAGTCGGAATTGAACCTGAAGGTTCTACCTCTGTATGGACACCTGAACGCATTCTAGATCATGATCAACGGAAACTCCGAAACCGTACCCTGACACGATATCTCGTGAAATGGGTTGGTCATGGACATGAGAATAACAGTTGGATTGAAGAACCTGCTTTCCCCGACAGATCCCTTATTGATGCCTATTGGACTGCACGCCGCGTGGATGCATGCATCTAGAAAGGGGGGCAGATGTTGTAGCACCTTATAGCGTTACAGAACTTAATCACTGCGTGATTAAGGCACGACTTGATAAGACTGAGCTACGAACAGTCTACGAATATCTTAGAGTTCAGACGTGCTTCCTTACCAAGGAATGACACGCACTTGAGATACCTACAGACTCATCGGTTCGAGCAACCAATGTAGATCTGAAGAGACGTCGTACAATAGAAGTTGTTACGGCCTCCTAAGCAACGAGTATTTATACTCGGGAGGAAGCCTGGGATTAGACATCAATCTAACAACACACCAGTGGGAAGGATTCTAGAAGCTTACGCTTCTAACGCCCCTTACTGAGGAACGAACCCAGTCCTTGGCCGAGCGAATCCGTCCTGTAACCTGTCGGCTCTCGCCGCTATCACACGCTAACATACACCGTCCACCTCTCAAACACCCGAGAGGTCGGCAGGTGGATTTGAACCAGGGTCACCTGGGGACAGAAGCCAGGCCTTCATCTCTGCCAGCCACCTGCCTCCATGTATGTATGTAAAAGTATGGATGGATGGATGGATGTGACCACACGTGTGGTAACTTAACACGCAGCTGACTTGCCAGGAGGTCCACGACCCACGGATCAGTGACAACAGCGTGCTCTGGAGCCTCACGGCTCGTGAGGGCACCCGCCGCATCGGCGGCGGAAATACTGTAGCCACAATACAATAAACATCGTGAGCACGTGAAGGCAAAGTTATATATATGTACACTGTCGGCACCATCAACACCATTGCATTGCACCAGCCGCCGACTTCGCTCAAATCGACGAAGTGCCTATCCTTGTCTTCTGTATTATCTAATTCTTCTTCTAAATGTTTGGGGCATAGCGTCTGCGGAGTTTCTGAGCCGTTTGCTTTGGTCAAGAATGAACGAATGGCCCGTTGACCTAAGTTGAATGCAACAGCGGGCCGTCTCATGGTGATATCATCAAATACTTTATATATTGTAATGTTACAGAGTGGGAGGCTTCTGGGCCTCTTTATCACTTTGTCAGTTCTACGATTTTTCGTCGGGGGTGTCAAACCCTGCCCCTCAGCTCCGACCAACTAACAACCCCCCCAATGCGTGATGCCCCACTCTACTGCTGGTTACCAACAAACAGTGTGCCAAAGCCCACCATACAGCCTCGTGGTAATGCTCACCAGCAGCAGCCGGCAGCGAGCCGCAAGG